GGGGGGGGGTACTCGATGGAGGCCGGCGGGGGGGCCTGCTTACGTGGCCGAGGCGCGCGCCCTGGTGCCGGGACCGAGCCTCGTTGCGGTAAGCAGAGTCAGCATTTTCAGGTGAGGCAGGCACACGAAGGCCTGAGCCTTCGGCGCCGAGGAGGACGAAGGGCACGCTCGGGGAATATCCGAGCCGCGTGAGGGTACGTGGGCAAGGAAAAGGGGGAAAAAAAAACAAACCACACATTGCCGGAGCGTGCGGCGACACCTCCTGCCAGCTACGCGGCGCCGGCGGTCCCGTACCCGCGTGCTGCCTGCGCGGCCGGGCTGTAAACCGCGCCTGGTAGCAGTCAACGTGAAATGAAGCCCCCAGACCCCGAACCCTGGGTCCCGAATCGGACGGCTACCGGGTGCTCGAACTCGCCGGGCTCTCGCCCCGGGCGCGGCCCTGGAACGACCCTCTTTCCTGCCCGCCCGCCCGCCCCCCCCCCCCCCCCCCCCCCCCCCCCCCGAGGCGGGGCTCCTCCTCTGGATCAGGGCGCTCGCGCTGGAGAGAGGCGGCACCCTGGGCGGCATGCTGTCCTCGCAAATAGGGGCCCCCAAAAAGCAAGGGCAAAAAAAGACCGGGGAAATCCCGCACGCCCCCTCGCGCCAAGGCACGCCAGGCGGTGCCATTCTTTGTAAGTCGTCCGCATGACCCGAAGGTCACATGGAGATGCCGGGCGTGGCTGCCTTCGTTCTGGAGTTGTGTGTTTGGGTGGAGAAAGGGAGGGGGGGGTTGTTCCGGGCCGCCGGGCACATCCCGGCACCCGGCGCTGAAAGGGCGGTGCCAGGCTCTCCAAGCACAATGCTCTCTCCACGGGGGAGGGGCGGGGCCGCGTCAGTCCAGTTTGCCCAATCTCCTGTCGGGGCTTACCCGGCAAGGATCGTGGCCCGGGGTCGAGCCCGCGCCCTTCCCCCCCCCCCCCCCGTGGCAGACATGCACACAGGGACCGGCACATGCACACACACACACACACACACACGCACATGCGACCGCAGACACACGGCCACAGACACAGGCGCGCTGGTACACCTGCTGAGAGTTGCGGGAGGAGCCAGCCCTGCTCCCCCCCCCCCCCAAAGAGCCGATCTCCATCGCGTAGGCGAGGTTCTTCGGCCGGCATCTAGTCCCCGGCCCCCCTTCGGCCGGGCAACCCCTCCCTGCTCCACCCTCTATAGTCTCCTGCCCTCTCCCCGGATCCCTCCCCGTCAGAAGCACCCCCTCATTGTGCGCCCTCTCGCGCTGTCTTCCGCCTCCTCCCTCTTCCCTTGCATCTCGCCCCCCCCCTCCCCCCATGTGCACGCGAGAGAGAGCCACATAGAGGCGGCCCGCTGCGCCGGTCGCCGCGCCACCCGCCAGCTATGTGTTTGAATGCGCGCTTGCACTTGGAAATGGACCCCCGGTTCGGGAGAGTCTTTCTCTTCCTCTCCCGGGGAGACCCCTCTTTCCCCGTGACACAGGGCGGCATCGCGAAGAGCCCATGCCTGGCCGCACGCGCCCCGCTGTTCACACAATACACGCATATGCTTTTTATACCCACACGCATTATGGTCCTTTTGTGTGCTCCCATTCGCGCTTCCATGTGCGTCCATATCCGCGGCGTGTGTGTCGCCGCCCGGCGCCCTGGCGACCGTCCTCCCCTTCCCCCCCCCCCCCCCCC